CCTTATTTTCCAATTACCAATGCATCATTTTGTTTCCAAATTTTGCATTCCAATCACCAGTAATAACCAATACACTTTGATTGCAGGTTTGGTCAATTTCAGACAGCAGAAGTTGGTAAGAAGCTTCAACTTCTTCATCTTTTGCTGTTGTGGTTGGTGCATAAATTTGAATAGTAGTCCTATTAACTGGTCTTTCTTGTAGGCATATGAACATTATCCTATCACTGATAGCACTGTGCTTCAGCATACATCTTGAAATGTTCATTTTGATGATAGATGCAATGTCATTCCTCTTTAATTTGTCAGTCCCAGCATAGTAGACCATATGATTGTCTCATTCAAAATGGCTAATACCAGTCCATCCTAGCTCACTAATTCCTAGAATACTGATCTTTACACATTCTATTCATTTTTTAACTTCCAATTTTCCCAGATTCATACTTTGTACATTCCATATTCCAATTGTATAAACTACCTAGTACATATTATTATATAGTAAGAGCTAGAAAGTTTTTGCTAACCAGATATAAACTGATAATAAAAACATTAGATCAGGAATGAAAGTCTATACTTAACAGATTTACATTTAAACTACCTATTGTTAACACAAAATTGAGTTGTTTGTAATAAACTATTCTGAAACCCTTTACTTATAGTAGTTGTTTGTTGTTCATTATTATTGACATGATAATACAAGTAAATTTCATGAGATACTTTGTTTGTTTATTTTTACCCCCAATGCCTCAGGTAATGTCTGGCATATAGTTGTTGTTATGTTGTTATTTGCCAGCGAGTCGGACCTGACTCATAGTGACCCCTCTTTGGGTTTCTGAGGCAGTATCACTACGGAAGTAGATTGCCCAACCTTCTTCCAAGGAGTGGCTGGTGGGTTTGAACCTCCAGCCTTGTGGTTAGCAGTCAAATGCCTTAGGCAGTATGCTACCAGAGCTCCTGGCATATAGTTAGTGCTCAATAAATATTATTGTGCAGATAAATTAATTAACCCTTATTGATTATATGGGGGAAGTGATTTAGCAATGAGTATAAAGGTTTATGGATGAAATTATAGGAAAAAGCTGAATTCCAGCTGCTGAACTCCAACTTAAATATATACTCTGATTATAATCATATACGTGTTGTTACATATTTCAATTCTCAGCAAAGCATGTGTCAATATCTGATGGTTTCCTTTTTTTTTTTTTTAAATTTTGTTGTTTATTTAAATTACATTAGAATGTAAGATACATAAAGATAGGAAACTAAACCTTTTTCTTCCTTTTTTGCTGTTGTATACTAAGAACTGTAACAGGGGCAAGCATACAGTATGCATGGGTAAGGACGAGGAAGAAAATGTTCACACACACACACACACAATGAAAACAAGTGATCTGTTTAATTGTGAATTTTGCACTTTTTATTTATTTGCTTTGTTGAATAAAAATTACAATATTACGTGTGCCAGGAATCCCATGCCCCAACATCAAACATGAGAGACCACCTGAGATAAGCTCTGCCCCCAGAAATTGTGAAACTGAGTGCATCTTGTTTGAAATTTACTTATTTATTATATTCTTGATCTTTTAAATAGACTTCATAATAAAATGAACTACTGTAATCTCTCACATTTTCTGTCCTCCGCATCTGAAAATTTCATTTATCTTCTGATATCTCTTTGTCATTCTTACCAAATAAATAAATAGTCTCAGAAATTGTGAAATCCAGACAAGTCTCTAAAGCCAAGAAGCATTTTTTTTGTTTTGTGTTGCAAACAGTATAGACACACATTCTTATTCATGCAGAATAAGAAGATATTATTAACTAATTATCATTTTTATCCATAAGCTTAGAGGAAAAATCTCCTGCAGTAGTTGCTCTATTTATAATCATTCACAAAAGCGTATTAGGATTCAACATGTTAATATTGATTGCTCACTCCCAGACTGTTTCTGAAGCAGGTTTATATTCTTTGGATTGAACTGCAATGTGACAGCCAATAGTAGATGATGTATTTGGAAAGATTCATGACAGGCATTGGTAATGGTATTGTTTTTCTTCTCCAAGTATGTTTATTTCAGTAGATTTATGAAATGTTCAGAGACAGAAAAAGAATGATAATGGATAGATTTCTGGAAAAATAAATCCAGTAGCAGTGTTTCTTGGGCCCTTGCTATTTGTGAACATGTTCTATAGGTCATTTGGCTGTGACTTCATTTTGTGTAGCCCATGTATATCTGGATGTTGTTACAATATTCTGAATACATTCCATATGCATATTACATTTATGGGGATATGTTTTAATATTATGTTATTTTGTTTTCATTTTTATTTAACAACTTGAAGAAGTCTAAGCTGGGATTCAGGAGTATTGCAATCTAATCCCACTTCAGCTTTCAAGTTTCCTACAATCTGGAACGAAAATGTATATTTTACTTTAACCACCTACAAAATGTGGGTACACAAGCTGACCATCTAAATACCCAAAATGCATAAGGTTAATGACACACTGAAAAATATTATCTTAACACTCAGGTAACGAGGCCACAGAACAGGAAACTAAAGCTTAATTATGTTTTCTTTCTGACTTCCCCTGTTATCCACCTAGTCAAGTGGAAGCTAAAACTACATTAAAACAAACTAGTCTGTCTAAGTTAGACAAGCAGAAAATGATTTAAATTTCCAGGGTCCCTATATCTTTAACTTGACCCATTACCATTGTGAACACACTTGCCATCGCTATATACATACATGCACACACACACACTCCCATGGCTCTTACTGAACTTACATGATGTTTTCATTTCATTCTTTGACTGTCCATTCCTTATGCTTCAGAAATCTACCATTCTTCTCACATGTTATGAATGCACTGTCTATTCTGTCCCTTGACCTGGCTGGTTCTTCTCAGGCTCTTGATAGTTTTCCTTAATAATGTCACAGCAATCGCCTATTTTTCATAGGTAAAGGATGATGGAGAGACAAGAGTTGAGGGGTTGAGAGCCAATAGCAGGGACACAGCAATGTCAGGACCTAGAATAATGCTGTGCCCTGCTCCTATCAGGTTGTATGATAATTCCTATAGCTCCTCTATTGCCTGTGGGTTAAGATGCTGAATCCCTAAAGTCATGATCCTTGTTCTCAAATTCTAAAACTTCAGACCCTCGGGTGACATTCCATTTTCCTCTTCTCTAAAATATTGTTCTTCTCCCATTTTTTTTTTTTTCTGGTTCCCAATTAGTTCAGTCTTAAATTAAAAATGTATTCCTCTGAATTAAAATTTATCTTCTATTAAAATACTAATGGAGCGCTGGTGGCACAGTGGTTAAAAACATTTGGCTGCTAATCAAAAGGCCAGTGGTTCAAACCCACCAGCTGCTCTATGGGAGAAAGAGGAGACAGTCTGCTTCTGAAACGATTACAGACTTGGACAACATATAGGGCAGTTCTACCCTGTCCTATTGGGTCGCCGTGAGTCAGAGGCAACTCAATGGCAGGGTTGTTTTTGTTTGTTTGTTTGTTTGTTTGTTTATTAAAATACCAATTCCCCTCAAAGAGGTAGTACATGTTCAACCATGTGTTCTTTAGCAAACATTAATTTATCACACTACTTCTTGCTAAAAGACTTTGAAGAGATGAGAAATAAAGACATCAAGCACTGAAGTTAGGAAATAGAGAAAACAAGAAAACATAATTTGGGTGAAAATCTGTAATGTTACCAAGAATAAACTGCATTCTTTATAAATTTATCTAAATTCAGACCTGATTTCAATTTCATTTTAATAAACTTTTGCTCTTCGCTAAAGTCCTAGCGAACAGCTTAAATATTAAATGGATGTTAAAATGATAATCCATTGTCATATAGAGTCTTTAGTATTGTCTAGATCAAAAACATAGTCAACATCACATATACAGGATCAGAGAATTATATTGACAATAAAAACATCTCCCTGGCATTATCAGACTCAAAATAACCCTGTGTGAGACCATGCTTATCTCTGGGGTGATCTCAGGTGGAAATAGCTATGACAGAAATGGTCCTGTAAGAAATCCCTAGAGAACATTGGCTCCTACTTCTTCTGGAGCTCAGTAGCTGCATCTGCTGTTGGCATCTAGGGAGAAGCCAGAAAAGGAAAGTTAAGGCCAAGAGTTTTTGTTTTTTATGTTTGTTTGTTTTCTTTTTGTTTGTTTGTTTTGATCTTGAAACACAAGAAGGTCCTTAAGTGAAAAGATCAAGTATGCTATTTTTTTCCTAAAAATGGGTGCAATGACTTTTTAATGATTGTAAACATGTACTACTATAGCAATTTTACTTTACATCACACTGCAGGCCTGTTATCAAATATGGATATATGAGGCCTGCCAAGATCTGGATCTTTCTTGCCAGAAATAGTCAATAAAGAAAATCTATTGACAGATCTATTTCAAAAGCCATATGTGCTGCTTGAGTTTGCTGCCCTCCAGTCAGGGAGAAGGTTTGTCTTGGAATGCCTCAAAGGCACTCAATCCACAGCTAGTAAGGCCCAACAATTCTTTGCTGAGACAAGTTTGATTTTCACACAAGCAATAAAGTCAGGTACCCACAAACACAAACAGTTTTCCCCTATGAAAATTCTGCCTAAGTATACAAGTCTTTTGGCAATTTTCCTTAACTGAAGGCCTTTCATTCTCTCCCATTCTTTTGACTTTTCTCATGGATATGCAAAGAAGAGTCTTAGAGCACTCTCTGTGACTGAAGGAACCTCTTCTAGTTTTCCTTCTGTTCCTATTTCCTGCTTTTAAGTGGCTATGATCAAAACCCTCCTTCTTAGAACTATCTTGACCACAAGCATCCCTTCAACTCCTGCTTTATTTTGTGACATTCTAATGTGTGCTACAGAGCAGTTCATTGACTCTTGCTTTATGTATTAATTTTTTCATAATTATTTAGTTCACTTAAGGGTAAGAAGAGAAAATAAAATAACTGGTCTTACATAGAATACACTTGTGATATTTTCTTCCTTTAGCAGTTTCATGGATGCCCAGTGAAACATACGGATTATCCTCCTCAGGAGCCGACTCAACGCTTCATGGTGAGCACTTGGTTAGGATTTGGGACTGGGAAGGTAGTGGTCTGTTTTATTTGGGCAGAGTGGAAAAACAAGAAGGGTGAAGAAGCAAACCTCAACTGGACATTCCAAGTGCATCTAGAACAAATAATTTATTATCTCACTTATATAAAATAAGCAAATATATGTTGTTGTTGTTGTTGTAAGATGCCATTGAGTCAGTTCTGACTCATAGATAACCTATGTACAACAGAATGAAACACTGCCTGTTCTTATGCCATCCTCACAATTGTTGCTATGTTTGAGCCCCTCATTGCAGCCAATGTGTAAATCCATCTCATTGAGAGTCTTCCCCTTTTTCACTAACCCTCTACTTTACCAAGCATGATATCCTTCTCCAGGGACTGGTCCCTCCTGACAACATGACAAAAGTATGAGAGGTGATGTCTGGCCATTCTCACTTCTAAAGAACATTCTGTCTGTACTTCCTCCAAGACAGATTTGTTCATAGCTATATATTATTAGTAGTTACCAGGTGTGGGAGAGAGGAGGAAATGCAGAATTTTTGCTTAGGGGACATAGAATTTATGTTATTGGTGGTGGAATGGATTTGGAAAAGGTTAATGATAATGATTGTACAACAAAAACAATCTAATTATATCACTGACTTTTACAAGTAGGAATTGTTGAATTGACAAGTGTTTTATTGTGCATATTTTTTATCACCATAAAAAATGTATCTTAGTGATGAAAATGACAACAGTGTAAATGAGTGGAACCAAAATTCTTTCCAGTCACTCAAGGAAGAGAGTCAGAATTTAGATCTTTCTCTATTCTATTTCAAAGTTAGATCTAAACTATAGCATTTTTTCACAATTGCCTCTGTTGTTGTTATGTGCCATTGAGTCTGACTCAACTCATAACGACCCCTCCTTGGGTTTCCAAGGCAGTATCATTATGGAAGTAGATTGCAATATTCATTTTAATTTTCCAGAATTATTAGACAACATTTTTTCTGGGATTGTTCTCTTTACCTCAATATATTTAATAAAGTCAACAAAAATCTCTTCCTACAATTTGAGTAGACAGATAAATCTACTCAATCCATGTTGACTAATGTTGTTGTTGTTGTTGTTAAGTGCCATTGAATCATCTACAACTCATAGCGACCCTATGCACAGCAGAATTGTGGGATGACATCAAGAACATCATCCATGAGAAAAGCAAGAGGTCATTAAAAATATGAGAAAGAAAGAAAAGACCAAAATGAATGTCAGAAGAGACTCTGAAACCTGCCTTCGAGAGAAGAGTAGCTAAAGCAAATGGGAGAAATGACAAGATAAAAGAGCTGGACAGAAGATTTCAAAGAGCAACTTGAGCAGATGAGCAGACAAAGCCAATTACTATAATGAAATGTGCAAAGACCTGGAGGTAGAAAACCAAGAGGGAAGAACATGCTTGGCATTTCTCAAGCTGAAAGAACTGATGAAAAAAATTAAGCCTCAAGTTGTAATATTGAAAGATTCTTTGGTCAAAATACTGAATGATGCAGGAAGCATCAAAAGAAGATGGAAGGAATACCCACAATCACTGTAGGTCATGAAGATGAGCATGAGGAAGTAGATGATGACCACCTGGATGACAATGGCATTTAAATTTGTCTACTTAAATTTGTCATGGAGTTTCTTTAGCAGATATCATTTTGTTGTTTGGAAGTGTGCTGCTTCTCTTTCTCCCTTTTTTTTTCTTTACACCAATTAGAGATTTCACTTCTTTTATAATTGTTAGTCAGATCGCAGGATCCCAGACTTGCTGGGAATTGACCCCCAATAAACTTCACATATGATATTTTAATGATATTGAGGCCATTCAGACTGAGCCCTTCCAAATAGTGAGATCTAAATCATGATTTTACACCTCTTGGTCAGGTTGAAATGGATACTAGGATCATTTCAGGCATTACCTTTACATCACTAGTGCTATCTTCACCATTACAACCAGACCACTTCAGAAGTCCCCACAACTGCCAATGGATTTGTGATAGTTGGAGTTTTGTGTCAACTTGGCTGGACCACAATTCTGAGTAGTTTAAGCAGTTATGATGTGGGTTATTCCCATGATGAGATCAGATGTATGTTTTGAGCAGCCAATCCATTGAAAGGGCATTTCCCTAGTGTGTGGTCTGCTTCCAATATATTTATGGACATCCTGGGAAAAAGAGCCACTCTTGTGGATTGGGATCCTGTTGTACTACCTACAACTGTCCATGAGCAAACAATCCACCATTCATCCTGGAAATCTTGAATTCATCATTAAGTCAACAGCTGGTATACTGTCTACCAACCTTGAGCTCATCAGCCCCACCAGGTGCGTGAGTCAGGAAAAGCCTCCAGCTTGACGTTTGTTCCAAGAACTTGGGACTTGCCAGCTTCTATAAGTGTGTGAGCCATTTTCCTAAGATAAATTTCTCTCTCTCTCTCTTTCTGTATATAGAAACATATGGTCAAACAGTTAGGAAAATGAGGATATGGAGTGTATAAATTCTGCTGAATCCCTCCCATCTGCAAGGATTACTATAAAACCATTATCCCTTCCACCTCCATTTGATGGGATTAACCCAACTGTTCCTGCTGTGTCATTGCCTGAGATAGATGCCATGAAGATATTGCTGAATGTTCCCAGGAACTGCCTCAACCACACATTGTTGCTACTAGCAACAATTAAAGTTAAATCCAAGAAAGCTCCGAAAGATGAAATACAAAGTGTGAATGAGAAGTTGGTACACTATACTTGAAAAGACTTACTTGATTTTGCTAACATGTACAGACAGAAACCTGGAGAATATGTATGGGAATGGCTACTGAGGATGTGGGATAATGGTGCAAGGAATGTAACATTGGATCAGTCTGAGTTTATTGATTTAGGCCCACTAAGTGTGGATTCTTCATTCAGTGTTTCCACCTGAATGGTTAGGAAAGGATCTAATTGTTTTTTGGTTGGTTTACTGAAGCATGGATTATGCAGTGGCTTACCCTAAGTCAAGTTGAAGTACCAAACCTGCCTTGGTATAATTTAAAAGAAGGTATCCAGAGGCTTAGTGAAATTGGCATGTTAGAGTGGATTTATCAGATTAGACCCCTCAAGCCAGAAATAGAGAGTCCAGAGGACCCTTTCACCAATATGGTGAGGAACAAACTTGTGAAGGGAGCCCTAGCATCCTTGAAGACTGCTGTGATTGCTATTATATGTAACCAAGCTTTAACAGTGTGAACTGCCCTAATTGAACTAAGACACTTAAATATGATGGGGCTGATTGAATCCCGTGGTAGTAGGGTACAAGTGGCAGCAGTTAATAGACAAAGACAAGGTGGGCATGGTTAATGGAAAGCAGAGTCAGAACAGTAATCAGAATACTCTGACTCATGTGGAATTATGGCATTGGCTACTTAGGCATGGTGTTCCTAGGAGTGAAATACATAGCAAACCTACTAAATATTTACTCGATCTGTATAGACAGAAGAATTCTAGGTCACATGAACAGAAGTCTAGATTGAATTTCCAGAATACAGAGTCATAGCCTCTCAACCAATTCCCAGACTTGAGTCAGTTTATGGACCCACAACCCCTTGAGTGAAGGAGAGGTTGGGTCCCCTTGAGGAAGGACCCCACTACATTTTGAAAAACTTATAATGTCAATCTTTCTCCCATCCTTCCCCAAAGGGATCTGAGGCCTTTTACAAGAGTGACTGTTTATTGGGGAAAAGGAAATAATATTACTTTTCAGGGATTACTGGACACTGGCTCTGAACTGACACTAACTCCAGGACACCCAAAGTGTCACTGTGGCCCACCAGTCAGAGTGGGGGCACATGAAGGTCAAATTATTGATGGAGTCTTAGCTAAGGTGTGTCTCCAGTGGGTCCAGTGGGTCCAGTGAGTCCCTGAACCCATCCTGTAGTGATTTCCCCTAGTCCAGAATGAATAATTGGAATAGATATACTGAGCAATTGGCAGAATTTCCACATTGGGTCCCTGACATGTGGTGTAAGGGCTACTATGGTAGGAAAAGCCAAGTGGAAGCCATTAGGACTGGCTTTACCTACAAAAATAGTAAACCAAAAACAATACCACACACTTCTGATAAGATGGAGGAATAGGCAGACAAGCGACACAGACCCTCTTCAACAAAGAAAAGCAAAACCAGTTGACAGATACAAAAGATAATCCTGGATCCCTGAGCTTTGAAAGGAACTATACACAAGTGGATTAGCCACCAACTAGTGGAAAAACCTGAATGAAAACAGTGACTATGGAGACAGTCAGAGCTGCAGACTGTCAGCTATTCCTACGGGACCAACAGCCTGAATAGTTCCAAGTGGTGTTGGGACCTGAGAAATGACATGACAAAGATCAGCTCTGGTCACCAAGGGCTGCAGGGACAACTGTGCTGGTGGCCTATGACTAGAAAGGGAAACAGCAAGGTGGGAGACAGCCTAAGCTCTGACTTTCAGCTGTCTGGAGGGCACAGGCATTTTGAATGTTTACACATGGAAGCCATTTTGGATATTTAAAGTGACCAAGGGTGCAGCCATTTTGAATGTTTACAAGTGGTGGCCATTTTGAGTATTTAAAGTGACTGAGGGTACAGCCATTTTGAACCTTTACAAGTGGCAACCATTTTGGATTTAAAGTGATAGCATCCTCATTCGGATTCCAGGGATCTAAGAATAGGCTCTGTTTGCCAAGGTCAGCAGAGACATACGAGAGGCTGACAACAGGAAAGGAGACAGGTGGTGAGTGTGTAAGTGCTGTCTACTAGCAAATAGAGGAGCACAACACAGTACCTTGCTTGCATAGATGATATTCAAACAAAACAAAGAAAATGAAAATCTTGTGCAAATCACTCCAACATACAATCACCAATTAAATATAAGCACAAAAACGTCACAATGCCTGGACAAAACAGAGCATCACAGTCCACACAAAGAATCAAGATAAAGCAGGAGAAACAAGGGAGCAAGACC